CTTCGTGAAGCTGGCATTACGATTTCCGGTGAAAATGGTGGAGCTGCGGGAGCGAAGACCGAAGGGAAGAATGCAGCCAGCGTCAGTTCTGTGTGGATGAGTGCGTCTCTACTGATTGTGGTTACACTGGCCAATGTTCTTGTGTGTTGATTGTGTGGTGGTGATGGTGTGACTCAGGTCATCCTTTGTTTTCTTTTTTCTTTTTGCATGCAATCCCTACAGTCTAACTAATCTTTCACCTGTTGGGATTATTTTCTTTTTCGTTTCTTAATGTTATTGTGTTTTGTGTGTTTTTGCTCTCTATGTTTATCCTATAATTATTATTGCTACTACTCCATTATGTGTGTGTGTGTTCTTGGAGACTCTTTCTGTGTGTGCACCTGGGCTTTGCACTGTAATGATGATGATGATAAACTGCTTTTTTGTAGTGGGAAAAGATAAAATAATAATAATAGATGAATTTATATTTATAATTGCTTGTATACACACATATATAGACTTACACCCATAGTTGTTGTATTTCTGTGTTTACTGGGTAAATTGGGCTAATGTTTAATATCCGTTGGTTTGCATATTGTTTGCTAGTTTGTTCTGTGTTTTGCACTGCATTGTTATGATGATCTACTTTGAATAGAGAAAAAGAAAAAAACAGTAATTGTTACACATAATTTCATTATTGTGTATAAGCGTCAGCATACCCAGTCTTCTGTGTTATTGTATGTTTTGTTGGGCATTTCGTTGTGCTTTTAATTTCTTTTTTTCATTACTTCTTGTTTTGTTCAGGGTTTTTTTTTGATTGTGGTGCCTCTTTATTGGATTCTTTATTGTTTATACTGGTAGTGTGGTATTGTGTTTCTGTTGTTTTTGTTGTTTTCTATTTTACCATCTGTTGTTTCGTTTCTATTGTATGGGATCTTTTTATTACTTTTTCTCTCTCTTCCCTTTCTCTTTAACAAAGTGACGTAAAACAACCAAGAATTACTTTTGCCATGATGATGCGACCCGTTGTGTGTTTGCTGGTTTTTCTGCTGAGTGTTGCCTCCGTATGCATGGAAGCTAACGCGGTTTTTGAACGTGATCTTAAACCTGTTTTTCCGGACTGTCCCTCTGATACTTCAAAAACTCCTTGTACTCCTAAAGGTGATGGTAATGTCTTTACAGCTCTCTTGCATGATAGGGCTGGACCTGTGTCACCCTCTGCTGGAAGTTCATCCTCTCTTACCAGAACCGGTTCTACTAGGACACTTGATAATGTTGGTCAAGAGCAACCAGGCCATACAGCACAACCTGGGGTTCGTACAGAACCACCACGTACTGCACACCCAGAAACATCATCACAAGAAATACAAAATGGTCAAAACGATATGAATCAAGAAGAAGGAGTACCACGTGCCGTTTCTCCGTCCGCCCAAGAAGGAAGAGGTGCCGACAGTTCATCGGGTAATTCTGCCCCTCAAGTGGACCGGAGTAAACCTACTAGTGGAGGTGATCTCAGCGGTGGAGATCAAAGTCAACCTCAAGAGGCAAATGGAACTGAACAAGTGAACCAACCTGAATCAAGTGATACAGTGGATCCCAGTACACTTACCACATATAATCCCACACACCAATCCTCTGCAGCTGCAGGTACTACTGTCACAACCGCTTCACAAGAAAATGTCAATGCCGATACAAAGTCCACCACCACAACAACTACTACTACCACCACCACAACAACAACAACACTTCCACCTGAACTCACAAACAGCAAGAAGGGTGATGCAGACAGCAGCAGCAGTATCAGCAGTTCTGTGTGGGTGCGTGTGCCACTACTGATTGTGGTTACACTGGCCTGTATTCTTGTGTGCTGATTGTAATGGTGGTAGTGGTGTGACTCAGGTC